GATATATAATTCTTGGTTGGAAATTTTTCTCTTTCAGGGTTTTATATATGCCATCTATTGCCTTCTCACTGACATGGTTTCTGGTAAGGAATCAGAGCTTATTCTTATTGGTTGTCCTTTGTAAGTAACTTTTCATTTTTCCCATTCTGCTTTCAGGATTCTTTCTTTGTCTTTGGTTTTGATGAGTTTGATGATGATGTGTCTTGGTGATTTTCTTTTGGGGTCTATCCTGGTTGGAGTTTATTGGATTTCCTGAGTACATATATTCTCATCTTTCATCATATCAGGGAAGTTCTCTGCCAACAAATCTTGGACAATTTTCTCAGTTGTTTTCTTTTTCTCTTCCTGTTCTGGAATTGGAATTACATGTAGGTTATTCCTTTTGATGGTATCCCACATGATCTTTAGGCTTTCTTCATTTTGTTTTGATCTTTTTTTCTGATTGATCCCTTTCCAAAGAAGTATTCAGGTATTTGTCTTGAATCTTACTAATTTTGTCTTCCCTTGCATCGATTCTACTCCTTTGCCCTTTTAATGTGTTATCTCTTTCTGAAAATTTAGTATTAATCTTCTGGATTACTATCTGTAGATTTTGTATTATTTCTAATTTTTCATTTATTTTGTCATTTTATTCTTGTATTTTCTTCTGAAATTGCTGTAGGGTTTTCTCTGTGTTTTCCTTAATTTTGTCAGTGTTTTCCTTGATATGTCTCTCAATCCTTTAAAGAGACCTAAATATAATTCTTTTGAATTCCTTATCAGGGGGTTCCAACACTGCTTCTTCATCAGTGATGTGTGTTCTGGTCTGTATCCTGCTCTCTTGTTTCTACACTTTATCTTGCTTCTTTGCGTGAACTGTGATGATCTTTTGTCTCCCAGACATTGTGCCATTGTTGTATTTAGATCTCTGTTAATTGTTTGTGAAGATCAGTGTTCTGGCTACCTAGTGTCACTCTGACAGGAATATATACCACAAATGGGATGGCCTTAACAAACAGGAGTTTATTCTCTTTTAGTTCAAGAGGCTAGAAGTCCAAGTTGCTAGTGCCAGGACCTAGGGGCTGGGTGAAAGCCCCTTGACCTTGGGCTTCATCTCTGCCTCTTGCTCCAGCCCACTGAAGCTAGAAACATCTCTTCAGTCAGGCAGCTAATGGCTGCTGAGGCTAACAACCCAAGGTGGACAAATAAAATGGCACAGTCCCAATGTTACCAAATGACACAGTAAGCCATTAATTCAAGTCCATTGTAAGCCCAAAGGTCAGTAGAGCATGGCAGGCTGCTGAACAATGACACAGCTACATGCAGGGTCCAAGCTTGCCATAAGCTGGAGACCATTCCCAAAGCTGCTTCTTATATACAGGAAACAGACCACATACCCAAAGCAGCTACTCAGCTGCTTGTGGTAGATCCCACCATGGAGCTGATTGCCAATCTCATCATGGGGAATAACTACCAACAGCTGCCCAGCCACTCAGCCAGGCCCAGCCAAGTTGACACACAAACATAACCACCAGAAGAAGCTAAGGTTGAGTCAGGCTCTTCTTTGTGGTCATTTATCATTGGCCAGTTGGTGGAGAAGAAAGTGGTGGCTCTCGGTCATTAAGTGGAGCTGCAGGAGGGCCTGGTATAGTTATGTCGTATGGGTACCGTTGCTGTCTCCCACTCAGTTAGACAAAAACAGCAACAGAAAAAAACATCAAAAAAGTTAAACAAACTGGAGAAAGACACACTGGATAAACACACAGGAACAATCACCAAAAAAAAAAAAAAA